GGGTTTTTTTTAAGTCTTTTTGTAGGGAACTGTACTTCTGACTGGTTATTTTATTTGTCATTTCTGGTCAATTTTCAGAAATCTATAAGTATATTATACCAACACTATTACCTTAACCAAACTTGTAATCTCATAAAAAAAAGATATCTAGTTCATTTGCCAGGATCCATTTTCCATAAACCCATGTTTATGGTATTATATTACCTTCCTTCAATTCTTTATTAATTGAGCACCGTATCAGCCATTCCATTATTTTGCCCGGAATCAATGTCATGCTGACAGGTCTAAAATTACCTAGGTCATCCTGTTTACCCTTTTAATATAGTACCACAATATTAGTTTTCTTCTAATCTTCTGAAACTTCCCATGTGTTCCTAGAGTTATTGGACTATAATACCCCAGCAAGCTACTTGGCCAGCTCTTTTAAAAATTCTTGAATGTAAATTATCCAGACCTACTGAATCTTAAATGTCTAACTTCAGTAGCTGCTGTGTGACATCCCTTTGAGTTACTATTGTAATGTAAACTATTTCATTATATGATTTGACCACATCTGTTTTTTTCCCTAAACACAGAACGGGAATACTTATTGAACAAGGCAGCCTTTTCTACATTATTATTGACATTATTATATTCCATCTAGTAATTGACCAATACTATTGTTAGGATTCTTTTTGTTAGAACATAAGAACGTCCATACTGGGTCAGACCAATGGTCCATCTAGCTCAGTATGCTGTCTTCCAACAGTGGTCAATGCCAGGTGCTTCAGAGGGGATGAACAGCACAGGTAATCCTCAAGTGATCCATCCCGTCGCCCATTCCCAGCTTCTGGAAAACAGAGACTAGGGACAGCATCCCTGCCCATCCTGGCTAATAGCCATTGATGGACCTATCCTCCAAGAACTTATCTAGTTATTTTTTGAACCCTGTTAGTGTCTTGGCCTTCACAACATTCTCTGGCAAGGAGTTCCACCAGTTCACAGCCATCCATCTCTCTGTTTTATTTGACCCACTGGATCGTCAGAGATCTCTTCTCTAGTTTCCATGCTGAGGACCTAGTGTCAATTGGAAACTTCATATGGGACTATTCATGTGCTTAAGGTTAACCATGTATGTGTTTTCAGACTGGAGCACTTGTGTATTGAGTCTACTGCTCTTGAACCCTGGAGTTTCTTTACCAAGGGCCCAATTATTTCAATACATATGGCCTGCTGGTGCAGTAACTCCTTACAAGGCTGTATAAACTTGATGTAAACCAGGCTGAGTAGCCAACTGAATGATGGGAAGTTCAGCCAGCTGTGGAAAGGGGCAGAGGAGAAAACTAACACATACTGTACAGCTAAGAGATATAGCTGCTTGCACAGAGACTTGGGCAACACTACTTCCTGTTCTTTGCTCTTTTCTCATCCCAATCAGCAAAGGCCCTGAAAGTTACTACACCCTAACATGCTTAATGACATTGACAGTGCCACATCATTGTCACTGAGTGAGTAGCGACAGAGAGTCCTGTGGCACCTTATAGACTAACAGACATTACAGACACTAACCTGAGAATGGCTTGGCAGGCTTTACATGACCACCTCTCAAAGCGAGGGAAGAATGCAACTCTGAGGGGATCTAGCTACCTCTACAGCTACAGAGAGATGTAAGATCTGCTCTTGTAGAAGAAAGTTGGGCAGGGTAGGGCCCTGAGTTGTGCACCTGATCAGGAATAATAATAATTGTAAGTATAGAGTTTCCTGGTTATGTTTGCTTGGTGTGGAGGGATACTAGTATTCCAAAGTGTGTCATTAAAATGACATACCAGCCCCTAGACTATGCTTATCCCTAAATGACTCAATGAAGAAACATGAAAAGTACAGTAAGCCTGTCAGCCACCACCAGCAAATGCCAGCTATTCAAAGCAATGATGAGTAGCAGAAAACAGCAAATTAAGTGGGAATAAAGGAATAAGTACATTGACACAATCCTAATAAATTTTTACACATAGTTAGGGCTCGTACTTCAGTCACTGAGCCCACAAAACATAAGCACATTATAGGCCTCTGATAGCTGCATGACACACAGGCAAAAGGACTCCCTATTTCCTATTAAAAAGATCTTTGGCCCTTTTATTTCACTGCTTATCAAAGTAACAAAAAAGTCAATAGAATGTAGTCTACAAACAAGTTATGTAATTAATTAAGTATGGTCAAATACACACTTAAGTCATAAGATCAGAGCTTAGTTCATTCAACAGAAGAATGCTCTTCCATGTATCCCAGTTCCTGCCAAAATAGATGAAGCAGGATTAAAGCTAACAAACACATCTGTGGAAGTGCTAGAGAGTTCGGAGGGAGGGTGGGGGGGAAAGAAAGTAAGTCTTGGAAGAGGTAGTAGAAGTACATATAACAAAAGGAATTTTTTTCTACTCAGCCCATACATAAATACTACATACTAAATACATTTTCTTTAAGTCAGAAAGATGGCTCCTCTTAGAACCTTAAATTTAAAAAAATATTCAAAAATGATTGTCCATACTTTCCACCTTAATTCCTCCCCTCAAAAAAAAAAAGATTGGGATTTTTACAATGTTACTTTGCAGCCTGGGGTACTGATCCTATAAACACTTATGCATAGAAGTATCTTCAGAACTTAGAAAAGATTTCCTCATCAGAGACCTGAGATTATATTAACCCTTTACATTTACATGTATTCAGTAACAATATTTGAAAGGTTGAAGTGTTCTTTGTCATTGAGGCTGCAGGAACTGTCATTCTTTGCCTAGTTGATGACACAAAACAATGTATCAGCATTCTCATTCTGTGCGTGGATCTGTTCAGTTTTCCCCTATCTTTGTAATATTAAATGGTTCAGTGATTTTTTAGTAAGAGTTTACACTTTAGGATATTGTTATTAATTTATTTCAATAAAGCTAATATCTCTGAGCAAGTCATTACCTTTGGTATTTATCCACTACCCCTTGCGGGCTCATCTAGTTGTGCAACTTCTAAAGAGTTGGGCTCCCTTCTGTGAACCCTACCAGTTTGAGTGCACAGGGACTGCCAGGGCTCCTGCACACCTTGTAAAGGGGAAGGGACTGAGATAAAGCTCTGCAGTGGGACAATAAGTCATTTAGACGCTGAGCTTCTTTTGGAGTGTTCAGCTGAGAAGTGTTTCTAGGATATTCTCACTTTTCTTTCAAACGTTTGACTAAATGTGGGGCATAACATTCACAGAAACATTTTACTTTTATCCATGCTTCTACAGATATGAATGCCTCCATCCCAACATACTTTCCAAAGTGTTAAGAAACCCTATACCAACTGCTAACGTCTCACTATCCAGTTAACTTAGCCATGCACACATAGCTGTGCACTTTACAAACTTTGTGAAAAAATATAGGGAAATGTATTCCATGTGCATAGAACCTGATTTTCAAGGGGGCATGTCTCAGTCAAGTCAAAATGAATTTTCACTGGAACCTTAAAGGTACTTCTCAAAAAAGGCCAATTTCATATCAAATATCAATTTCCTAGCCCCAGACATTTTGGTTGGAAAGCCGTTAAAAAGAAAGAAAGAAGTAGTCGTTTTTTATTTTCTAAATAATGAAACATTGATACTTCTGCCTCCCTCCCATTTTCCCTCTAATCAAAAATGGCTGAACAGTTTCTGCTGAAACTTGCCAAAACAAATCAATTCATCTCCAAGCAGAGGCCAAACTTGGATTATTTCTGCCTGAAAGATAAAGATTTCAGAAAGTTACACCTGTTTAACTTATTTTTTAATATTTGCTTGTGTTATTGATATAGTTCTACAAATAAGACTTGTTCATGTATTATTATACAATTACAATTAATACTTAGCACATGCATAGCACTTCTCCAAGTGTTCTAGACACAATCACTGGACGCTTTATGATGCTCAGTAATATCATACGGGATTTGGATATTTTTTTCCCCACTGTTTGTTGACTAAATTATTGTTTTTCCATGAGTTCATCTTTAAAGAGGTCCTAGACAGCATTGTTACTCCCCAACGCACACACACAGGCTTCACAGATGAGGAGACAGGCTAAGTGAATTGCACAAAGCCATATCATGACACAGTAGCTGAGCTAGGATTTAGAACTTGGGTATTTCTGGTCCCCAGACCAATGCTCTGGCCACCGGAACAATGTCTCAACTGATATAATAGCGTGCCTCGGAAAGGAGAATCTATTTTAATTACCTACATACACATAGCCTTTGACGTGTGTTAGGAGGACCCCAGAGTAGAGAAATGATAATGTTTTTCCAATAAACTGTTGATACACACAGTGTTGATCTAAGATTTCTTCTGGATTTTTTTTTTGGCTTCTTAATTAAAAAAATATATAATAGAAAACAAAGTTATGGGTAAGTATATACACCAGGACTTTACATATAACCTTACACAGGACAGAGTTGAGTAGTCTCCTCTTTTCTACGGTGTTCCTCCCAAACCCTACACATTGAGGATAACAGATTGTTTGAATGCTGTAAACATTAATCATGTGCCTTCTAGTCACCCACCCTCCCCAGTGCATGAAGGGATTTGCATCCATCAAAGCCCGCTACAGGGGGAACTTGTAACCATCCCCCCAGTCCAAGCCTTGCTGCATCCGTCTTGCAGCAGGAGAAGAGGGAAGGGACCTCACACAATTCTGACAGTTTTCAGAAACAAACCAAAATAACCCAGCGACATCTTGCCTTAGTACAGCTGGTAGGAGATGGGGAGAAGCTAACAGGGCTGCAAGGGAAACTAATAAAGGCAAGAGAGAGATCCCCGCTTCTGCCTCTGCCCAGGAGCTATTTATAAAGCAGCCGCAGGAGGAGAGAGCTGGCAATAAAGATTTTCTCTGCACTCGGGGGGAGACTGAGAATAAACCCGAAGTTTCTTTCAGGCGAGTGGGCAGCACTGCGCTGTGGCAGGAGGAGACACTGCCGGGAAGCTGACGGACAGAGCGGAGCAGACAGACAGACATAGGAAGGGTTGTTACCTTGGAAGACGCGCAGCCCTCGGCTCGGCTGCTGCTCCTGCAGGTGCAGAGAGGCGCTGCCCAGTCCCGCTGCTGCGGCGGCTGCCCCCGCGCTAATCCTGCTCCTCTCCTCCTACTCTAGGTGACCGCTGCCGCCGCCTGCCATTTAAAGCCTACCCCAGTCTCGCCTTCCGGGCTCATTCGCAGCACAGGAGCCCGCGCGGGGCAGCTCCACGGAGAGGAGAACAGCCAGTGCCAGGGCGGCTGCCTCGAGCTCCTGGCTTGACGCAGGAGCCAAGCGGTGCAGCAGTGGATGGAGCCCGGGCAACGGCGGCCAAAACCCCCGAAACAAGGGAGTGGGGGAGTGATAAACCTCAGAGCAGAGCAGCTCCCTCTCCCCCTTCTAGCCTTCAGTGGCTCTCTGCTCCCCAGGAACTATCCATCCATCGCCACCCGTTCCCTTCCCTGCCAACAAACGCGTGGGTATGTTTTGGGGTCTTTTCTGGTCTTGTGAAAGTCACTGCTCATGTGGTTTGCTGTTAGATCCCCATGGCAGAAAACAGATTCCCCTGCAAAGTCTGGGCTTCTCAGGATGGCTAGTTCTGTCTTGCTGCTCTCCCGGGAGCATTTGTTAAATTGTCCTTCCCCCGAGTCCCGCAATAAGGCGAAGTAGAGCAGGATTATTTGTTATGATTGAAATAGGGCTTTTAGGGAGATGAGCTCCACTATGGAATTTGCATCATCGATAAAAAGATGATCATCTCCCACCCATCCGAGTTGCTTCCTCTATAAAAGTACAACACAGGCACTTCCTAACACTCAAAGCTATAAGAACCATCCCTACAGTTATTTTACTTCAACTCAAACATTAGCCATAGAGGAGCTGCGCGTGTGTAGACTAAAGAATCTATTTTCTTACCTAAAACTCTTTCTGAGATTGGGCATTGAAATATTCAGTTCTGAAGTAAAGCAGGGAAGAAGCAAAAGACCCTTATTATTTTATTACACACAGATGATTTATAAAGACAATATTTAAAAGCTGCAATTAAAATAGCCTTCTGGGAGACAGCAATAGTGACTGTACAATTTGGGAGGAAAAAATGGCATTTTTATTCCCACCATGCTTGAAGACCTTTGTAAATGTTAACACCTTACAATGACATCTCATGCTTAGGCAAAATGTAGCAGCTCCTCTAGCTACACATGTGGTTCTGCTTAGATTCATTAACAAGACTCCAACATTAGAGGACCACAACCTAAGGAAGGATGGGGGTGCTTCCTGCAATGAACATGTGTTGATAAAAATCAGCTCTTAACATGTGAGGGACAGATCTTTCATAAACAAAATTAAATTTTAAAATAATGATTAATAATAATTAAAGTCATTCACTTGCTACTTCTACCTAAAATTCTGGAGATCTTTTCTGACCATTTTAAACTTTTTTCCATTGCTGCAGATAATCCTTAAAGTTGTAGAAACTTGATAGTTTGCTCATGATTTACTTGACATCTCCCATCTAGTAACCAAAAGTTTGCGCTACCTTACCTATAACATCACTATTTCACATCACAGTCAGAGACAAATCCTGCAAACAGAACAGAAAACAGATATACCAGTTCCAAGTACTTTGAAAAGTTACAGTTTTCTTTTTAAAGTATTCTTTCAAAGGGAGATGAATTATTAAGCTTTGCTGATAGAAATTTCACTTTTTGGGTGCATTTGTGCTCTGACAAGGAGATAGAGGAAAGACTGTATATGTAAAACAACCAATGTTAAACAATTATGTCAACCTGCAATGTAGGGCACATGGAGAGCAAAACCTAATCTCTGAGAGGTTTCCGCTTCATCTGCACTCATCAGTGTAATCAGCTTTTCATCTTGACATAGGATAAATGCAACCTGCCTGCTGCTTCATTTACCATACAGAGACAGCTACTGTAGATTTGTATGAAACAAACAAGTACAGAGTTTAGGAGGAAGAGTCTTGACTTAAATTTCCTGCAACTATCCCATTCTTAGGACACATTGAAGGTTGAGGCCTTCTACCAGCAGAGTTCCTACCCAGGTTAGATATGAAAACCATTCATTGTATATTTAATATGGCAGTTGAGCTACTGTCTGAGGAACCAATTGTCACTTTTAGCTGAACTATAATTTTATTTTGTTACTTTGTAGATGGGAAACAGTGATACTTATTGCTCAAAGAAGAGCTCAGCAGCATTCATAAAGATGAATTTCCTAAACAACTTCAGGCTCCATTCAGTGAAAATAATCAGGGTGATGATATGGTTGTATTGCTCAGTTCACCTGGCTATGCCAAAGTTCCTACAACTGGAGATTCATAGCAGGAGAATGAATAAGTGCCTCCTTTACACACTGCCCCTTTCCTTGCAGGAATATTACTAAATGTCTTGGAAGGGTGACAGAGCCACAGTTCACAATGCGTAATAAAATAATTTCACATTGACACTAGTTCTCCAAAGCAAGAAGTAACGTCTAAATTGTGAAAGTACTAGGGGACAGGAAAAGTAACTCGATGAAGCATTCTAAGCAAAACCTACCGGAGTATAGTACCGTGTAGGGAGGACAAGAAAGAACTCTCTCTATTTATGGGAAATATAAAGACTAGTGACACATTTTTCTAAGAGTGGGAAAATACGTTTTGCTTACATACAATGGGATTTACTTTTGTCAGTATAACTTACCCTTTAAAAAGTTACTCTTTACTTCAGCAAGATGCTCATATGCACACTTTATACACACCAATCCAGCCATTGTGGGTGGTCCAACCATGGACTCTTTTCTCTTTCCCCGAGGGCCCTATCATGATGTTCCAGAAAGGGTGTGAGGAGGGACTCAAAGTCACAGTTATCGCAGAAAAGGGCATGCCTCTGTCACAGATTTGTTTCACAGCCACTATTCTTCCACTGAATTTCTCTCCATCCTACTTGCAGGGTCCTGGGGCAGAGCTTGAGCAGCTCAAAGTCAGATTTCTGGGCCAAGGTCAGGATGATGTCAGGGTGCCAGATTCAGGGCAAGGGGCAGAATTCAAGTCAGAGCCAAAGTTGATGCCAGGAGCAGTCAGTTATGGCAGCCCACCTGAGAGAGAGAGAGAGAGAGTGAGTGTGTGTGTGTGTGTGTGAGAGAGAGAGACATGCACATTTCCCCTTTAAGTATGAAGAGCGGGGTCAGAAGTAGACTGCCTTGTTAATTAGATCAGCAAGCTGAGACCAGACCGCAGCTGCTGCTGCCTGGAAGCTCCCTCTGTCATATGTCCCCCGTGCTCTATGGAAGATGGGGTAAGCAGAGTGCAGGAGCAGGGGGACACCCTGACATTAGCCTCCCTCTTCCTCCCCCACACACAGCAAGCAGGAGTCTTGGGGAGCAGCTCCAAAGCAGAGGGCGGGAGCAGCACATGGCAGTGGGGGGAGGGACAGCTGCAATTGCTAGCCTGCTGGGCAGCTGCTGCACAGGGAACTTAGGGGAGCGAGAGCTGATAGGGGGGCTGTCAGTCCACCCTGGTTCCAATCACCCACCAGTTAGCTCCACTGGGCTGCTCTTCCTGCAAGCAGTGGACAAAGCAGGCGGCTGCCAAACGACATTAGAAGGGAGCATTGCACAACTTTAAATGAGCATGTTCCCTAATTGATCAGCAATGTAACAAGGAAACAATATTAACCGAGATGACTTTAAGTGAGGAGTTACTGTACCTCATCTGACCTCCCAGCAGAGAGAGTTTTCTATCTCCCTTACAAGCCACTACAGCAGGGGATGTCAAACTTTCAGTGGAGAGGGCTGAGTCCCATTTTTAATTATGGTCCATGAACTGAAACACAAAATTAGGATTCCATGCTCCCCTCAACCCATAGAAGAATGTCCATTGATGTCAATGGGAGGTTTACACAGATCATATGGCCCTTATCTACTATGTAAACGCTGGGTTTTTATTTTTTCAGAACTTTGATGAACACATTTTCCCATCAAGAAATGAAAATGTAGGATCGCTGCTATTTCCACCCCTTCCCTTCCCTCCCCATCTTCCTGTTTTCTTCATTCCCTGTTCTCTGTCCTTGTGGTTTTCCCCCTGCATTCCTTCTGCACTTCCTTTTCCTGCAGCAACTCCCAATCCCCTCCCCCCAGGCCCTTTTCCCATTCTAAAGTAATCAGCAGTTAAATAGCTAATGTTTATATGCAAGTCTCATCACGGGGTAGAGTTGACATGCCAATGTAATTAATAGGGAATAGAGGAGTTCAAACCTCCCTATGACATTGCTTCAAGAGGTCTCCAAACTCAGGAAGCCATCACTTCATCAGCTTACGCTTGATTCACATTTGGAAGGTTAGTTTTGCAACCAGAGAAGCTAGAATTCCTCCTCCGCCACCAAGGGCGGGGGGAGCTTAGATTCTGTACAATCTGCATCTGTCACATACGTATAGGGTACAATTAAGAAGGTCACACATTTTGGGTAGGTCTACACTGTGGCAGTGAGGCTCAGCGCAAAGTCTATAGACTCAGGTTTGTGGGGCCTGTTCTACAGCACTAAAAACAGCTCTGTTGACCTTTGGGCTCAAGCTCTGAAACCCATCCTCAACCCCAGGCTGCAGACCCCAAGCCTGAACATCTGAACAGCTGATTTTAGTCCCAGAGCATAAGCCTGAGGCTGTAGAGCTGGGCTCTGAGACTTGCTACAGGAGGTTTTAACACCACACTATAGACATACTCTTTGTTGCTTCTGCGGGCCAAGAACACTGCACACACCAGGAGCTCCTGTGTCTTCCTCCATTCTCCCACACAAGCTTTCTGTGTGTCACCCTCCCATCCCCTTCTGTTTCAGGGACTCCTTTCAAGGCTCCCATCTCCTTCCTCTTGCCACAGGCTCTGTACATTCCCCCACACCCTCCAGCAGGGGCTCTGTGATGCCCCCTTCTCCCATATCTCCCTTACTGCTTTCTACCATCTCAGGACCTCCATGACCTCCTTCCCCTACCATTGTCATCCATTCTCCCCTTTCCCACCATGGCAGGAAATTAGTTGGTTTCCCCATTCACCCCATGCCTGGGACTGAATTTTCTGCATCACCCTGCCCCCACCCAGGCCAGGAGCTCTGTGTGCCCTCCATTCCCACCTCCCTCACATTTTTATTTCTTGCCTTTCTGTCTGGGAGATAAGGCATTCGGGCAGTCAACATTTATAAAATCAAAACTTTTACTGTTTTGGAGGGTAACATGGTATACTCTTTCTTTAACATACAATAGCAAATACAAGCTAATAGCATTGTTTATCTGAAGAGCACACGCCTATTTAAGTATGTTATAAACAGGGGATTTTTGTCCAAATAGGCTTTCGGCTCTGCCAGAGCCCTTATGCTCCTCCTTTTAGCTCATATGTTATTGACCAAATAATAAATTAATATCTCCCATGGAATTCTTACAGTTGATAGTGGTAACCCATCTGCCATGCACAGACACATAATGCCATTATCCCAGTTACAAGAACTATGGATCTGCTGATTTTAGATTCTAGTAATTGCAGTGAGAGGCTGAAGTTATGGCCTTACAATTCAGTCACACACTGAAAGCACCTTCACCAAAATAGTGTTGCATCTAATTCATGAAGATGGGGTAGCAAAAGAAGGCAGAAGAA